TTAGTGGAAAGAGTCCAAATAGTCTCAGTTTGGTTAAAGTAAATATTTAATCAATAGTTCATTTTCAAAGCTATTATTCCCAGATGTTTTAAACAAAATATGCATCTCTTCTCTTTAAAACTGTTTCCGTATCTCTTTTTATTTATATTAATTCTCTTTTTACTTTATCTCTGTCTGATTCATTGTTTCTTTTGTTTTATTTCTTTTTCTTTCTGAATATTGTTTCTCTTTCTTTACGTCTTCTGGTTTGTCCTTATTTCTCTGTGCTTTCATCTATTTACCCTATCTCTCTGTAGTTTATATTTTCAGTGCCCTTCTATACCTCTTTTTTTGTTTTGCTTTACTTTATCTCATAGAGTCATAGAAGCCTATTGCACAGGAAAAAAACCCCTCAGCTTATCAAGTCTGCAGTAGTCAAAAACAACCAACTTACTATTCTAATCATATTTTCCAGCACTTGGTCCATAGCCTTGTATGCTTTGGCATTGCAAGCATACACCTAAATACTTCTTAAATGTTGTCAGGGTTTCTGCCTCTATCATTCAGTGAGCTCCAGATTCCCTCCACTGAGTGGGAAAAAAAAAATTTCTCACATCCCCTCTGAGCCTCCTGCCCTTTATCTTAAATCCATGCTTCTGGCCAATTAACCCTCCATAGGGGGGAACATCCCTTACCATCTACCCTATCTATGGCCCCTCACAATTTTATACGTCTCAATTGTGACCCCACTCAGTCTCCTCTGCTCCAAGGAAAACAACCCCACTCTGTCCAATCTCTCTTAATTACTAAAACTATACAGCCCAGGCAACATCCTGATAAATCTCCTCTGCAACCTCTCTAGGAGGGATCTGATTGCACTGGAGAGAGTGGAGAGGAAACTTGCTCACGTATTCCATTTTTCTCCATCAGAATGTGCATGATTCTTCCACCCACCCACAGTTAGCGAAAGGGAATTATGAGGCACATATCACTTTCTATTGCATTTGCACAAAAGAAAGGAAGCCACTGCTTGGGGTGGAGATTTGTAGTTGTCAAAGACCAGATTGTTAGGTATTGGCATAGGCAGTTGTTAACTACAGTGGAGTTTAGCTAGACTGAAAAATGTTACATGATTTTGAAATTACTGCAATGAAAGGGAATGCATTTGTCAAATGGGGCTATTATGAAATAAATCCCTGCCCCTTGAGTCGAGGATTATCAGATCAGCCATGATCTCCTTGAATGGGGGAGCAGACTGAATGGGTTGAATGGTCTTATTCTACTCCTATGTCTTATAGCCTTGTGCTTCTATGATATTAAAATTTCCAGTGTTGGCATTGTGTTAAAATGTTCTGTCCAAAGCTTGAATAGTCTGATTCCTGATGGAAGAGTGTGACACTTCCTTATTTACTACAACATGTGTCATCCTTCAAACTTTTAAAGCTGTACAGAAATTGGTTTATTTGTTAATATTATTTTGGAAGGGGATTGCAGAGCTGATTACACGGTTGCTACTTAAATGCATACTATTTCTTATATTGTTCCAGATGATTTCTGACAGAAATTTGCTAATTTTCTTTAACAGAAGACATTTAGCCACTAAATTATTCAATGTCAAGAACTAGATATCATAAGCTGCATGATAAAGATTGAAGTGACTGTACAATAAATTTATAGATCAAAGGCGTGTGTACTCATAACAGCACAATCCAACATCATAGGTATTTTGCTGCATGCAAGAAATAGCTAGTTTGATGAATGCTGTTATATTCCATTACACAGGTATTTCTAGTGTCCTGTAAAATTTATAAATATATCTGGTCTATACATTTAAGGTTCCCTAAATGTTGGGAGTCTGAAGCACTATGTTCTGTATAATCTGATTATATAATTCCTGCAGTAGACATGCAAGAATTTAATGCAGATTGAAAGATGTGATTGCATTTTAGCACTTAGCATGCAGCTATAGCCAGATAAAATGTTGGATTAGGAAAGACAATTGCACAACTGGCTTAATGATAACAATACTGTCACATTCATAATTGAGCTATACCATCCTGAAAATTTCAACACCTCATTCGTAATGAGGTAGATGATATAACCCGTGGTTGAAATGAGGATGAAAATCAGCCAGTATTTCTACCGTTATGATAGTTAGCTAGTGAAATGTGACGTGTTGACATAAAGCAAGGACAAGATAAAGCTTAGTTTTGATTAATTTTATAATCAAATATAAATTCCTTATTAGTGAAGTGGGTAAAACTGAGATAGAAAATAGAAATTGTAAGAATATATGTATTTCATCCTTTCGTGGTGTCAATTTTCATTAAATGTTCGAGATTTCAAACAACTTTTTCTTAATACTGGTTTTATAAATTTATCCATGCAACTTAATTGTTTGAATTTTCTCAATGTACCCTGAAAGATCTGTGCACTCTACACTGAAAAATACTATTCCTGCTTGTGCTGCTTTTGAATCTAATGCTTTATTAGCATTTCCACCTAATATTGTGACTTCATTCTGTTTCTAGTTTGATCGAGTGAGAGTTATCTACAAATACGCACTTGATAGAATTGCCAAACAGAAGGCTCAAGAGCTCTTCAAAAACTATACAGTTTTTGAGAAAAAGTTTGGGGACAGGAGAGGCATTGAAGATGTTATTGTCAGCAAAAGACGCTTCCAGTATGAAGAGGAAGTCAAGGTAAGATTCATTTTTTTTTCTTTCTAGATCTGTCTTGCAATAAAGAACTTGCCGTACCAAAATTGTAAACAAACACATCAGGCAGCATCTGTGAAGGGACCAGGCACCTCAGCTATTTTAAGTCTAGACCCGAAATACTAACTTGTCTGCTTTGCACACAACTGTTACCTACATTTCAGACATTTGGTATCATTTAAATTAAAAAAAGTAGATATTGAAAATGGGTTGGCTGTGCTGGGAGCAACTATATACCAAACGGTTGTGGGGGAACTAACTTAGAGGAGGTGTTCACGTTCTGAAATTGTAAAACTCAAAGTTGTGTTCCAAAGGCTATAAGGTATCTAGGCAGAAGATGTGGTATTATTCCTCTAGCTTATGTTGAGCCTTGCTGGAGCACTGCAACATGCCCAAGACAGAAGCTGGAAGAACAACACTTCTTTTTAGTTTCCAACTATATTCCAGTGTCTACCCCCTAATCTTTACTTTGCTTTCTATTAAACTATAAAAGTAAGTGATAAAACCTGCATGTTACTCCCTTTTTGTTTGGTCTGTGAGAAAGGTTTTGGTCAAGTATATACAACAGAGATCGAGTGAATCCCTGGGAGAGTATAAAGGCAGTAGGAGTATACTTAAGAGGGAAATCAGAAGGGCAAAATGGCGATATGAGATAGCTTTGTTAAATAGGGTTAAGGAGAATCCAAAGGGATTCTACAAATACATTAAGGATAATAGGGTAACAAGGGAGAGAATAAGGTCCCTTAAAGATCAGCAAGGCCACCTATACGTGGAATCACAGGAAATGGGGGAGATACTAAATCAGTATTTTGCATCAGTGTTAACTGTGGAGAAAGATATGGAAGATAGAGAACATGGTGAAATAAATAGCAACATCTTGAAAAATGTCCATATTACAGAAGTGGTGGTGCCGCCGGATCTCTTGAAACGCATAAAGGCGGATAAATCTCTGGGACCTGATCGGGTGTACCCTAGAATTCTGTTGGAAACTAGGGAAGTGATTACTAGGCCCCTTGCTGATTATTTGTATTGCCTATAGCCAAAGGTGAGATGCCAGCAGCCTGGAGGTTGGCTAACGTGGTACTACTATTTAAGAAGGGTGGTAAGGAAAAACCAGGGACCAAAGACCAGTGAGCCTGACATTGGTGGTGGGCAAGTTGTTGGAGGGAATCCTGAGGGACAGGATTTACGTGTATTTGGAAAGGCAAGGTCTGATTAGGGATCGTTAAAATGGCTTTGTGCGTGGGAAATCATGACTCATTAACTTGATTGAGTTTTTTGAAGAAGTAACAAAGAGAACTGATGAGAGCAGAGCGGTGGTCGTGATCTATATGGACTCAGTAAGGAATTCAACAAGGTTCCGCATAATAGACTGTTTAGCAAGGTTAGATCACACAGAATTCAGGAAGTACTAGACATTTGGATACAGAACTGGCTCGAAGTTAGAAAACAGAATGGTGGTGGAAGGTTGCTTTTTAGACTGGAGGCCTGTGACCAGCAGTGTGCCACAACGATTGGTGCTGGATCCACTACTTTTCGTCATTTTTATAAATGATTTGGATGTGAACATAGGAGGTATGGTTAGTAAGTTTGCAGATGACATCAAAATTGGAGGTGTAGTGGACAGCAAGGAAGGTAACCTTGGAGTACAACGGGATCTTGATCAGATGGATTAATGGGCTGAGAAGTGACAGATGGAGTTTAATTTAAATAAATGTGAGATGCTGCATTTTGGAAAAGCAAATCAGGGCAGGATGTATGCAGTTAATGCTAAGATCCTGGAGAGTGTTGCTGAACAAAGAGACCTTGGGGTGCAAGTTCATAGTTCCTTGAAAGTGGAGTTGCAGGTAAATAGGATAGTGAAAAAGCTGTTTGGTAACCTTGCCTTTTTTGGGCAGTGCATTGAGTATAGGAGATGAGAGGTCATGTTACAGATGTACAGGACATTGGTGAGGCCACTTTTGGAATACTGCGTGCAGTTCTGGTCTCCGCTGTAGGAAGGATGTTGTGAAACTTGAAAGGGTTCAGAAAAGATTGACAAGGGTGTTGCCAAGGTTGGAGGGTTTGCGCTATTGGGAGAGGCTGAATAGGGCTATTTTCCCTCGTTCATATCAGGCTGAGGGGTGATCTTATAGAAGTTTATAAAATTATGAGGGGCATGGATAGGGTGAACAGCCAAGGTCCTTTCCCGGGGTAGAGGAGTCTAAAACTAGATGGCATGGGTTTAAGGTAATAGGATAAAGATTTTAAAAGGGACCTAAGGGGCAACTATTTCACAGAGGGTGATGCATGTATGGAATGAGCTGCCAGAGGAAGTGGTGTAGGCCGATACAATTAAAGGCATCTGGATGGGTATATGAATATGGAGGGGTTTAGAGGGATATGGGCCAAATGCTGGCAAATGGGACTAGATTAATTTAAGATATCTATTCGGCATGGATGAGTTGGACTGAAAGGTCTGCTTCCATGTTGTACAATTCTATGACTCTATAACTATTCACTGTGATTGGCTCCCTAACCTACTTGATTACATCACTATTGTCAGACAGTAGAGATCTCCTATAGCTGGTGCCAGCATGAAATTAACTTTGGAAAAGGTGAAATCCATTCCACAGAGTGTCATCACTTTGGTAGACTCTGGGTTGATCAGTCTTCATAACTCTGTAACACTACTGCATCAGAAATAAATCAGCAAACTATGCAGAGTGTTTGGTGGTAGGACAGAATACTTCTAAAATGAGAGCAAAATCAATGTTCTGACATAGTTGTATTTTTGGAATATCTTAATGCTACAGCTTTGACTAAAATATTTGGGCAGCTCAAAAATACCCCTTGTATTTGATTTGAGTTTGTTAACAATTCAAGCTTGGTTAATAAATTGATATCTATGTTAGACATTCTAGAATACCTAATAAATACTGTGCCAATGGAAGAGTCAAATCTAATCTATCCTGTTTCACTATCAAGTCAAGGAAAATCCAATAATTGCATGTAAACATTTGCCCTGCCTCAGCCAGTAACCAGCAGTATTAACTGTTGCATTATGTTGGTCAAATCTCTGCAAAGCTTCTGTGATGACATCTGGACTGATGCATTGCATGGTCATGAACAGTTGAGAGGAAAGGGAAAACTGGCATCTGTGCTTAGGCAGAATAAGCGTGATTGACAATTGAAGTGTGTGGGGTTAGGTGGCTTACAGGGACTTGCCAGAAATTATGCATGTGCTCAAAGAAAGTGCTGGTGAAACTGAACAAGTCTGGCAGCATCTGTGGAGAGAGAAAAACAAAGATAACATTTTTGAGTCCAATGACTGTTCTTTGGAGTTCCAAAGTTTTCTGTGTTGCTAGAGCTGCTAAATTTCTCTAGTATTATACATTTACTATCACGTAAGTGTATAATTTCTGTCAGATTTTGCGCTAGTGTATTTTAAAATATGCCTTTTCTCAAGATTTCTTGCATTTATGTGTGTAGTTATTTTGCAACACAACACTAAGAGTTGATGAGCTTCACTGCAGAAGCCAGTGTTTTAGTACAAAGAATCTTTGCGTAATAACAGATGATTCCTTTTCTTAGCTACGCTACCCAAATGATGTAGTGAATGATTTTTTCACATGACTCTGCCACTGTCACATTTTAACATCTGATGAATGCCTACTGCTATAAATAGACTTGTGATCACGCTCAGTGGCTCTCTATACTGTAGCAACTGTGATCAAGTGATCACATTGTGGAAAGGGACTCATGCTGCCCTGGTCATGAACATTTTCTATTCTAAAAGGTGATCTTTTTATTGGGAGGGAAGCAGAAGAAAATCCCAGGTGACATCCAAATTATAACTGAAAATTAATGCATTCATTACAATGCTGTTTGTGAGGCTAGAGTGTTAGAAAAATATGCTCCTTAAAATTTTAAAATAATCCACCATATCAATATATTTTGAATAAGTTAAGATCCTGTATATTTCTGAAAGGCAAATCCACATAATTACGATGCCTGGTTCGACTACCTTCGACTAGTTGAAAGCGATGGAGATCTTGATACTGTACATGAAGTGTATGAGCGTGCAATAGCCAATGTACCACCCATTCAGGAAAAGAGGCACTGGAGGAGATATATTTACTTATGGATCAACTATGCTTTGTTTGAAGAATTGGAGGCAAAGGTACTGATTTGACTTGAATATGTGGACAAATTATATTATGTGAGGATACTTTGCAGCTACATTTTCCATGGATGCGCAGGTTCTGAAGATGAAAATGGGCAGACAATCTGGTTATCCAGCGATTTATCTGGGAAGTGTTTTTTGATATAATTGAAACTCCAATTTTTTTATTTACTGTCCGTCAACTATTTCTAAAACAAAAATGTGATCTGTTTTGATGAGCTGCAGTAGCAAAAATTATAGTGTTGTTGGGAATATAATGTCACTTTCTATATTGCAATAACTGAAATACTACTTCAGACCAAAATTCTAAATGCTATATACATTGTAAAAAAGGCTCACAAACCTGGCTTCCAATATTTTTGTCTTTACAATGAAGTTCACAGAATGATAGTTCACAATATTTTCTGGGGTTTAGATTTCTTTGCCTTTTATTGCTTTTGCATGGCTTGAAATTAAGAATCTTGGCAATGTTTTCCAAGTCAATAGAAAATAAAAGTTTGCTCACTGTATAACTGGCTGCCACTTTGCTACAAGCCTGTTTCATGCTCCTCACCTAGATCAATTTCATGCCCCTTATCCCAGCAGGTTAGGTTGAAGAGATTTTTGATCTGAAATTAATTTGTTATTTCTCAAATATATTTTGGATAGGCTATATGGAGAGCATAGGAATTGGCCAGTTAGCCACTCAAGTTTGCTCTGCCATTGTGTCAGATCATGATTGATCTGCAACCTAACTCCATATATCTGCCTTTACCTGTATTCCTTAATATCTTTGTTATAAAAAATCTATTCATTTTAGTTTTCAAATCACAATTGATCTAGCATTTGCAGAGAAATATTCTTGTTTGTGATATTTATGAAAATATTTTCTATAACTTCAGTATCTCTTCCTGTACAGGATCCAGAGAAGACTAGACAAGTGTATCAAGCATGCTTGGAACTCATCCCTCATAAGAAGGTGTGCTTTTGCAGTCCTGAACTAATGTAATTCTGTGTCCTTGTCTAAATTGGACTTACACGGATTTTGACAGAAGCATAATATCAGTTCAGCTGATTTCCTTCACATATCCAGAAGACATGCAGAATTAAGATAATTCTTCACATTATTTTATCTCTGGAACCATACTAGCCCAGAAAAATCCTACACTCTTCTCTCCAGAAAGTACTTAGTTATTAGCTTTTGCTCTGCGTAATTCTCTTGTCTGTGTAAGTAGGCCAGACTCCAGGATGCCAGCACACAATCCAGGCTGAGGCTTCTGTGTAGTACCAAGGAGGTTATGAATATAGGATGTGCCATCTTTTAAATCAGAGGTTAAACCAAAGCCTTGAGACTTGCAAGGTTAGCACAAAAAAAAAATCATAGCACTATTCAAAGAGAAGAGGAGCTCATCCTGTGGCCTGGCCATCATTTATTCTTGAACCAGCATACTAAAAGAAAAATTATTTTTTCTTATCAGATTCTTCCTTGCACAATTCATTACTGAATTTCCCTACAACAGCAAGGGCTCTTCAAAAATAGCTGTAAGGTGCACTACAGAGGTCTTAAAAGATGCTATATAAATGCAAACTTGTTTTCTTTTCTCCAGTAGAATTTACTGTAAGTAATCTGTCAGAATTACTCTGAAATAAGCCATTAAGATTGTATTTTGGCCTTCGGTTTAAATAAAATTGCCTGTGCCCTTTCTAATTTGCAACTGGCAAAACAGTCCAATGTTATGTAAATTGCACAAATCTCCAAGTATTTGATACCTTTGATCTTACTTTTCTTGTGGTTCTTCCTTTTGAGGGAACTGATAAAATAAAAGTTCCTCTGCTTTCGATGAAGAATTTTTCGTAAAATAAAATAATGGCGAAGCTTATATATGTTTGAGATGTTCACAACTTTGAACTGTTCTATAATGTTCTGTTTCATACAAATTAAGGTATGAATGTCATTGCACAATGGACTTCAGATCCAAAATGATTGTGTCTCCCTCACTCCAGTGTATTATTACTTACTCCAGTAAATTATTCTAATTTAATTTAAATAATTTTAAATATTGTTTCATGAATTCACTTTCATCTCTGATCTTAATGTCTTATGCTTTCAGTTCACATTTGCTAAATTGTGGCTGCTATATGCACAATTTGAAGTTCGACAGAAGAACCTGTCTCTCGCCAGGAGGGCTTTAGTAAGTGATAAACACCTTCATTGATTTTTTTTTTACTTTACAAAAATGTATCTTTATTAGCTTATGGATATACCAGTTAATTTAGACACTCATAAATTTCATTATGTCTTCATTGCAGCATTATGCTCCTTTTCTGAAACATTGGTTATCACAGTACACGTTTTAGCAGATGAGTGCAACAACTAACAGCAGAAACCAGTTGCCGAGGCAATTGATTTGACTTTCTTTGCAAATGGATTATTTATTTTCACCTACTTAGTCCATTGTTGTCCTGAAGACATGCATTACTTTTTGAGGTTCCAGATGTCCTTATATGAAATTAGTATCAATAGGGTGTTCACCAGAGGAGGTGATGAGCCTGCAACTGACTCTGTCTTCAGCTAATATCTACGCACATAACATGGATTTATAGCAGGTGTTAAGTGGATATCCAGCAGAGGAAGGGAAACTGGCTGATTTTTCCATTCCCATTGTGGCGACACTGAGGCTAAGTGCAGCAGCATCATTATCACCCAGACTGCGATTAGTTTAATTTAGCACAGATGGTAATTGAATTTGAGATATTGCCCTGCAGGACTTGGCCTCTTAATGGACTAAGCTGCTGAATCTTTGGGGAAGCAAAGTACAAGATTCTACCAATACCGAGCATAACGTTATACGCCCTCTGTATTAGAATGTTGAAATTGAAAATAGGTTCTTAAGATGGGAAAGTACATTTAAGTATAAATTCTTAACATCACCCATCAGATCCTAGGCATAAAAAAAATTGAATTCCAGAATTGTTGACATGTGACTGGAAAAGTGCTGACTTCGGAATGCACTAATTCAACCGTTAGTTTAATTGGACGACATCCATGTTGAAACAAGTAACAGTTCAGCATCTAAAAGAAACAAACATTTTATGTGTAATTCGCCATTAGAAGCCTTGTTATTTTCTCATTTTAGTCGTTACTCAATCTATTTACAGTATTTTTGTGTTTTAGTTGCTCAGAGTTTGTAGAATTGTTTGTTTTTCTATTTCCAGACAAATTACAATGTGTATATTTTTTTAAATTTCTAAAGGACATTGTTAAATTGCCTATCCTACCCCACCATGCCATGCCATATTATGCTGCCTGCTTTTACTGTTGCAACTAACCTGTTAACTAAAGCAGATTTCTTATTCAGGATCAGGAAAAACTGTATATTAATGCATAATAATATGTTAGAATGTTTCTTTCTGCACATGTTCAGGGTACTGGCATAGGAAAATGTCCAAAGAACAAGCTGTTCAAAGGGTACATTGAACTAGAGCTCCAGCTTCGTGAGTTTGATCGGTGTAGGAAACTCTATGAAAAATACCTGGAGTTTTCACCAGAGAACTGCACTACTTGGATTAAGTTTGCTGAATTGGAGACTATTCTGGGTGATGTTGAACGTGCTCGTGCCATCTATGAACTGGCAATTGGCCAACCTAGACTAGATATGCCAGAGGTAAGAGATTTGGTCAGTTCTTCAATGTCATTAGTAATTTTCACAATTGCACATGCATTGTGCAACACATTTTGTAACAAGGCCATTACTTGCAACACCAAGTAGCTATTCGAAGACAACATGAATTTAGGAATTAGATGATCTCTCAATGCTTGCAATAAATAGTGATCAGCTTTTCAACATATGTTATAGCTGTGTTATTCTTAACTAATCCTTCATGGAAGAGGAGAATTTACATTATGTACTTAGTCTATAAGTGTTTATTACTTCGACAACGTAAAACCATGGTTTTCAATTGCACTCATTCATTGCTTAGAAATTGGTTACTTTTAAAACCAAATATGCTTACTATCTTTTGTCTATTCTGGTTTATATCTGGGAAATGATGTCACACAAATAAAGCCATGTTCAAATGGCCAATCCATTGATCAAGTAGGAAGTTACAGTTCATTCAGTCATATATCTGTACAGATCCTGTATTTGCAAACTACCTAGTCATCATGCTTTCAAACACTTCATTAAGTTTTCACTAATAATAGAGAAGTTGTTAAGGAGAGCGATTCTTTTCACTATTAAACTGAAAACCGCACCTATCAGCTTATATCCACTATAACCAGATAATCAGTTTAAGTTGATTTTCAAACGAAATATTCACTGAACTTTCTCACTTCAGTTAACTCCCAAGTATGTTGATAATATCTTATTACATGATTTGTCAAATGACAACAAGCTAGAACATTCAGCCCAATTTGATAGTGCTAGCTCTTAAACTGGACCCATTTACAACAGCAATTTTGATTTCTATAAGCATTTAACATTGTATTCCTGCAGCTCATCAGTTTGATGGAAAATATGGAACGGCAGTACCTTGCAGATTCTGTCTCTGTCTTGTATCAGGGCAACCTTTCTCTAATTTGTCGCCCCCTTGATTTTTTTTTTCTGGGGAATTTGGAGATTTTCAGAGGCAAATTTATGCACCATCCCCTTACATTTTGAGTCCTGCATCTTGTGCAGGAAAGACAGGAAGAAAGATACTGGGAAGGAATTTCAGATATGAGTGCCTAAGTTGTTCAGAGCATGAGTGGAGTCTTTTAAAATTAAGATTGCTCTCCGGAAACCAGGAATTGGTGAGTTCTGGGAGAGGGATTAATTATATAGTTGAAGGAGAATTCAGAGGTAGGGAGGGAGAGAGAGATCATGGGCTGGTTTGTAAACAAGGATGTGAATTTCAAAACTGAAGCTGTGTTCAACTGAACCCCAATGTGAATTGGTTAGCACAAGAATATCGGTGAGCAGAATTTTGTGCGAGCTATGACATGGACAGCAAATTTTGAATGGCTGTGTCTGGGAAAGGTAGCATTTGAATAATGACCAAGAGTGTGTGGGTGTAATTGAGTCCACCAATAACAAAGGGATGGAAGAAGGTTTCCACAGCAGATAAGCTAAGCAAGGTTAAAGTCAGGCCATAAGTCTGGGCCTGAAAGAATCTTTATTACAATACAGATGGAGCCATAGAGATGTACAGCATGAAAACAGACCCTTCGGCCCAACCCATCCATGCCAACCAGATATCCCAAATTAATCTAGTCCCATTTGCTAGCGTTTGGCCCTTATCCCTCTAAACCCCGCTTTCTCTCCACAGATGCTGCCAGATCTGCTTACCTTTTTCAGCTATTTCTGATTTTGATTCTGATTTCCAGCATTTGCAGTTCTTTGGTTTTCTTTAATCTGACTTATGTACTATGTTCCAGGTTGGGGAAAGCCTCAGCTTTTGGTGCTATCTTTATAACAAGTAGATTTCTTTCATTATGTCATTCTGTTGTACCTTTGCAGTTACCATGGTCCTCTAAATTGTACCAATCTAAAATCCTCCTTGTAATTTTACATCCAATTCCCAAAGATCTGATTTGCCTTATTTATTTGTATCGCCAAATATTTTCCTTTTGAGTAGTACTTCCTTTCACCCAGAGTATCATGTTTCAGACTCCTCTGTATTAAATAACCACTCCAGTTATGTAGCCATCTATCTAAAATTGTCTGTTCACTCTGCCTTTGCTTCGCTCTCATAGTAACTGTAAATTTCAACATAAATATAACCAGCTATTATCCTGTATACTTGAGCTTCTATACTCCAGCACTCACTCCTTTTCATCTTTCGTATGACTTTTCTTCCTTCAACCCAGCCTCCTGTAAGATTCAATGAAATTAGGAGGAATATTAGATTTAGAAAAGCTGCGATTTAGTCACTTCATTGGTTCTGTATGAACCTGCCACAAAACTAATAGAAAATAAAATTAAAATTTATTTTTGTGTGCGATTTCTAACTTTATCCTTTTAAATCGTGCATTTAACCCATGGCATATATTAACTGCTCAAATACCAAATAATAATCCAATAACAAAGGTTTCAAAAATCGCAAATTTGTACTAATTATAATATTAAAGGGCACTTTTATTTTAAAAATAAATAATTCCATAGTATTTTGAGTATTTGAGTTTGTTTTTGCTTTTGTATTTCTTTTCCAAAAATCTAACAATTTTGTTAAAATAGCAGCTAAGAATGTTACGGTAAAATTTTGTAAAATGTCCTTTTTAGCTCAATCATGCATGATTAGGAAAAAAAGCTTTGTGACTGAGTTACTGAAGGAATTTTTTTCCCTAATTTTTTTTCCTAAAAGACAAGGTTGTGGTGTTTTAAATATTTTCCTGAAAGGTAGTGAATACTTCATTTAGAGATTGATTTTGCAAAATCTCGAGAATCTTTATAAAAGCCCCGATGTTACCTCACGTGCATTACTTCAGATTATTACTGCGAAAGAGTTATACATTTCACTGATCTGAAATTAGTGACAAGGCTTCATTTTTGGAAGCAGGGGCATGGACAGAAGTCTTGTCTGTACTTTGAAAAAATGGTGCAAAATATAGAAATAAGTTCTGATATCTGAATCTCATATTGTACCTCATTGTTTTGATTGTCAGTAACAACCTTCATAAACCAAAGTCAAGTACAATTCGGAGTACAATATAAAGAAGATCTGTACATCTTTTTCCAAGACTGGACAATTTAGAGTTGGTCTTGGATCAGTTCAACCCCTTTTTCTTTTTAGACTCTAAGACTACCAGACACATTAACAGTCTACAATTTTGAAGGTCCAAAAGTCTTGAATGTTACCAACTTCTAATGTTTTCTTAAAAATCTAAGTTAGGTAATTTTGTTAAATACATTACTTTTCAGGTTCTTTGGAAGTCTTATATAGACTTTGAAATTGAGCAGGAAGAATATGAAAGAACAAGAAACCTGTACAGGCGCCTACTTCAACGTACTCAGCACGTTAAGGTATGCTACTTTATAGTTAAGACCATTAAACTTACAAAAATTGTGACACACGTTATAAAACCATTGGCATTGGAGATGAAGTAGACCATACAGCTGCTAGAGTCTGTTCCAATGTTCATGAACATTATGGCTGATTTTAGACTTCAGTTCCAATTTTCACTGGTTCCCAAATCCACTAATATCGACCTTAGATTTCAAGAATCTTAGTCTTGAGTGTGCTGAATGACTGAGCATCCATAGCCCTCTGTGGCTGAAGACTCTTTGAGTGAAGAAAGTTCACCTCATCTCAGTCTAAAATGGCCACCCCTATCCTGAAACTGTTCTCTCTACTTCAAGTTTTAGTAAAATAGAATCTTAGGATTCAATGAGGTGAGCTCTAATTCTTGAGGTTTGGGTCCTTTGTACTCGACCTCTTCTGATTGGACAACCTCCTCATCCCAGGAATTGAACTGGTGAACGTGGATTGCACCACCTCTAGGTTCAGAATGATAACTTGCTTTAATAAATAAGAAATAAAAGAATTACTTTGTTCAAAATGTTCATATGCATTAATATTAGATAATTTCCTAATAATGTGAATTGATGGCTATTAAAATCAATCAAAGAATCACATTGATTGTATAAAAATGTTAGGGGCAAAGCAATAGTTGGAGTTTCATCAATGCCAGATCAAAACCAGAAAATATTGCAGTTCCTGACGACAAGTGAATGAGTTGTAATCTAATTTTTCTATTAAACAACTAGTATCTACTTTGATGCATTTTACACTATCTGGACCTGATTGTTAAGAAACTACTTTATCATTTTTTGCTATGTTACTGTCGACAGAGGCACCTTTATCACATTCATTATTGTGGCATGTGCCACTGTGGGACTGGAGGAAATAGAAGGAACTTTTTACCCGTGCTCTTGTATTTTTGTCCTGTAAATCTTCTGAAATTACAATGAATGTTTCTGTTTTCTGTAGGTATGGATCAGTTATGTTCAATTTGAACTTTCAGTGGATGTGCCAGAACGCATATCCAGATGCCGACAAATTTATGAGGATGCCAACAGATCTTTACGGAACTGTGAGGAAAAAGAAGAGCGACTCATATTCTTGGAGTCCTGGAGGGACTTTGAAGCAGAATTTGGCACAGAGTCTTCACAAGAAAGGGTGCGAAAACTCATGCCAGGACGTGTCAAGAAGAGGAGAAAACTGCAGGCAGAAGATGGGGTAAGGCAAAGCATACATAAAGTTGCTTGTGTTAGTGACAAAGGGGGGGATCTCATTGCTGCTAAACTAATGGCCAGCTATATAATTGACTAAACCTGCTTAAGTATTGTAGAGAACTGCAAGACTGAAAAGATCATGCAATATTATTCTTTTCCTCCAATAAATATCCCTCAAATATTGGCTATTTACTTTTCTTATTTTGCAACTGATATTAAACTATCCTGGGTTTTATGGAAACATCGTGCTTGGGAAACGTGCCTCTTTTCAAGGAAATGTAAAAGTGGGTTGATTATTTTAGAATCCTGAACGTGACGATATTAAACTTGACAAGATTTTACCAAGTAATATTTTCCAATAATTTTCTTAACTTGCAGACAGATGCTGGTTGGGAAGAGTATTACGATTACATCTTCCCAGAAGATGCTGCCAATCAACCAAACCTCAAACTGCTTGCAATGGCCAAGCTTTGGAAGAAACAGCTGCGCGATGAGAAAGAACCAGAAGATAATCCTGACAAAGATACAGATGAAAATGAGACTGAATCATGATGTATGGACAATCTTTGCAGAAACCTTCTCCACTCTATTGCTATTAATTTTTTCCACTTTTTTCCAAAATATTTTCTAATTTTTTGTACAATATTTCAAAAGCTAGAACTGTCTTCGAAGTGCTTATTAAATGAGTTTTTGTACCCAGGGTTTATTTTTCAGTAATTCTCGTGCTATGCTAAAATTTCCCATTACGTTATTTCTTAGTTGTGATCAAAATAACTTCACAGCAAGATACTTTCTACAGCCAATCCATACCTACCCATTGTTTGTCTGTACTTCAGACTTGATCTCAAAGACTTTAAGGGTTTTAAACTTGGGGTATTCTGTCAATACCTCTTGAACTGTGAGTGCAGTAACGTAACCACTGTGTTACCATGTCTATTGGTATAAAAGGCCTAATTGGTCATCTCTAACTCGTTCTTTATCCCGTTCTCGTTGCTGGTGTATGGATGCTCTTTCCCTCGCTGTGCAGTTAAGTTCAGCAGGAGCAGAGAAGATACAGTCAGTAGCTGTGTCAGGGTTCAAGGTTTAGGAAAATATGAATTGTCCTTACAATAGTGAGAAACTGTTGTAAAGCCATCAGCAAACTTGATTTTCATCATGCTGCAGTATATGAGTTGCAAACTAATTATGTTTGAACAACTGCCCACTTTCATATTTGACAAGCTGCAAAAAGATGACTAACCAAGGATCACGACTTCTCAGAGATAGTAGAAACTGCCGATGCTAGAGTCTGAGATAACAAGGTGTAGAGCTGGATGAACACAGCAGGCCAAGCAGCATCAGAGGAGCAGGAAAGCTGACATTTTGGGTCTGGACCCTTCCAGACCTGAAACGTCAGCTTTCCTGCTCCTCTGATGCTGCCTGGCCAGCTGTGTTCATCCAGCTCTACACCTTGTTATCACTTGACTTCTGTTCTCCCTGCCTTCAGAGAGAACAAAAGAAACCAGAATTATGTCGATTTAGTTACCTTTCCTGAAATGTATTCAAAAATGTCATTTAAAATTGCATGGGTGATTGAGGTACAAAGATTCTCAAAGCATGTATGTTGCAACACAGATTATATACTTGACCTAACTATCCACCTTATTTGAAAAATTACTTTGAACTGATGATTACGTGATGAGATAGCTTCTGCTTGCTTTTAAAATTAAGCAAGAAGTGGTTCAGACAGTTCTATCAGAAAGCCATTAAATGAGCTGCAAGTCAACTAAACAAAGACTTTTACCCCAACCTCTTCCAACTTCACATTCATCTGAGAACCAACTTCCTGGAAATTCAGTTGCAGAAAACCTCACAACTTACTGAGGATCCTGTACTTCACAAGACCTTCACTTCAGCTAAAGCATCAATTCAATGAAGAAACTACGTGCGTATCATCAAAAAGACTGAGAAATTACACACTGATTTTTTTCTCCATCTGCATCTACTGTGCATGTGTTGTAATTTGAGACCATTTTTTTTTAAAAGACTTCAAGTTTGCTGCAGTTGTTTAAACTGGAACAGTCACTCAGAGGGTAAAAATTACATCAATAGGTGGGCAAGAAAACATTGCTAACATAGAAACTGGTGAGGTTGCCAACTGACAATGATCTTGAGTAACTTGTAATGAGATTGACTGTTTTCACAGTCGTCCATGAGTGAGTACATCGTTGGATGACAAATTCCACCACTTCTTTCATGCCTTGAGCTCCAAGTAATTGTATTTTTCACGACGTACATTACTTGGTCAAATATTTCCTTCCCTCTTACTCGCAGATTAAAAATTAGTTGTACTTAGAATAGAAGTCTATTATTCTGATTTTCTATGTTTGGAGAAACAGTGTCAATCAGGGCATTTCAATGTAGCTACTGTGCCAAGTTGAACTTGGTCTCTGTGAAATGACGGTTGCATCTGAAAGAAATCTAGGATGTGGCTAGAACTCTAGATGTCCTGTCTTCCTACCTATTGCTCACCTCTGATGGTGTGCACTGCCCTTAATAGGCTTTGCATGTAAATTAATCATTGGAAAACACAGGTAATTTAATGGTGGCTAAGAGCTGAAAATTGCCGCAAATGATTTGGTAATGGGGGAAATGCCATTCACTTGTGTATGACAGCACTTCTGGATGCAAGGGAGCAGTACAGAACACTGGTTGACATAAAACGATTTTAGTTTGACTGACCAATCAGTAGACTACAATTGTCATTAGTACTTCATTGCTCAATTCTAAGGCAGTGTGCAATAGAAAGCACAAACCCTGAATGACAGAAACGAGGATCAGGACAGGTCTCCTAATAATTGGAGAGAATGTGTGGGGAGCTCTTTCTTTAGTCCATCATTGGTGATAGAAAGGTCCTGACCCGAAATGTCAACTTTCCCGCTCCTCTGCTGCCTGGCCTGCTGTGTTCATCCAGCTCCGCACTGTGTTATCAGGCTTGTTGTTCCTTTTACTGCTGTGCTCACATTGGTACTTTTTTTTAAGTTCTGTCATGGCATATGGGTGTAGCTGGTTGGGCCAGCATTTATTGCCCTTCCCCAGTTGCCATTCAGAAGGTGGTGATGAACTGCCTTCTTGAATTGCTGCAGTCCACGTGCTGTAGGTTGACCCACATGTCTTTAGGGAGGGAATTCCAAGATTTTGACCCAGCGGCAGTGAAGTAGTGTTGATCTATTTCCAAATCAGGATGGTGAGTGCTTGGAGGGGAAATTGTAGCTGTTAATGTTTTTGTATATCTGTTGCCCTTGACCTTTCTAGATGGAAATGGTTGTAGGTTTGGAAGCTGCTATCTAAGGTGACTTGGTGAATTTCTGCACTGCATCTTGTAGATAGTACATACTGCTGCTGCTGTGTCTTGGTGGTGGAAGGACTGGCTGGTTGGAGATATGGTGCCAGTCAAGTGGACTGCTTTATCCTGGATGGTGTTAAGCTTCTTGAATGATGTTGGAGCTGCACCTGTCCAGCCAAATGGTGAATATTCTTGAATTGTGCCTTATAGACAGTGAACAGGCTTGGGGGAGTCAGGAGCTGAGTTACTCACAGCAGTATTCCTAGCCTTGGAGCCACTGTATTTACATGATGAGTCCAGTTGAGTTTCCATAAGACCATAAGATGGAGGAGCAGAATTAGGCCATTTGGCCCATCGAGTCTGCTCTGCCATTGGATCACAGCTGATGTTTTTCTCAATCACACTCTCCTGCCTTCTTCCCTGTATTGGTCCTCTTATCAATCAAAAACCTATCTATCTCTATCTTAATTTTAACTGAATGACTTGGCCTCCACAGCCCTCTGCGACAATGAGTTCCACAGACTAATACCCTCTGCCTGAAGAAGTTCCTCTGAAGGGCTATCCCTTTGCTGTGAGGTAGGTCCTAGTCTCTATTACTATTGGAAACATCTTCTCCATGTCCACTCTATTCAGGCCTCTCAGTATTCTGGAAGTTTCAATCTGACTCCCCACCCCCCGACTCTGTCCTTCAAAATTCCATTGAGTACAGACCTAGAGTCCTTAACTGCTCCTCATACAACAAGTCCTTCATCCTCAGGATCATTCTTGTAAACCTCCTCCAAGGCCAGCACATCCAACCTTAGATATGGGATCATGGCAGATGGTGGAATTGAATTCAATAAATATCTGGAATTAAGAACCTACTGATGACTGTGAATCCATTGTCAATTGTTGGAAAAAACCATCTGGTTCACTAATGTCCTTTAGGGAAGGAAATTGCCATCCTTACCTGGTCTGACCCACATGTGACTCCAGACCCACAGACTCTTAACTGCCCTGTGGGCAATTAGGGATGGGCAATAAATGCTGCCTAGCCAGCGATGCCCTCAGCCCCTGAATGAATAAAGGTAATCACTTATGATCTAGATTAGACTGATGGGGCAGTAATTGACTGGGTTGGATCTGTCCTGCTTTATCGTGCCCAGGACATACCTGGGAAATTTTCTACATTTTCAGGTAGATACCACTATTGTAATTGTATTGGAACAGCTTGGCTAGTGGAATGGCAAGTTCTGAAGCACGTCTTCAGTGCTATTGCTGGATTGTTGTTAAGACCCATAGCCTTTCTAGTATCCAGTGTCTTCTTTTAATTTGCTCACAAGATGAGGGCATCACTGGCTAGGTCCAGCACTTATTGCCCATCCCCTAATTGCCCAGAGGACGGTTAAGAGTCAGCTGTGGGTCTGGAGTCACATGTAGGCCAGACCAGATAAGGATGGCTGATTTCCTTCCATAAGAGGAATTAGCAAACCAGATGGATTTTTCCTGACAATCAGCAATGGATTCATGGTCATCATTAGACTCTTAATTCCAGATTTTTAATTCAAATTCCACCATCTACCATGGTGGGATTTGAACCCATGTCCCCAGAACATTACCTGGGTCTCTGGATTAATAGTCCAGTGATAATACCACTAGGCCATTGTCTTCCTTCTTGACATCATGTGGAATAAATCAAATTGATTGGAGACTGGTATCTGTATGGCTGGAGACCACAGAAGGCTGAGATGGATCATCCACTCGGCACTTCTGGCTGAAGATTGCCACGAATGCTTCAGCGTTATCTTTTGCACTGATGTGCTGGGCTCTTCCATCATTGAGAATGGTGATATTTGTAGAGCCTCCTCCTCTAGTGAATTGTTTAATTGCTCACAACCATTCGTGATTGGACCAGCAAGACAAGGATTTTGATAGGAATGGATGGTTTGAGCTATGGGGAGAGGCTGAATAGGCTGGGACTTTTTTTTTTTCTCCTGAAGCATCGTAGGCAGAGGGTTACCTTATAGAAGTTATAAAATAATGAGAGAATGTGGATAGGGTGAATAGCCATGGTCTTTTTTTTTCTCGCCAGGGTAGGGCAGTCCAACATCTCTAACTGCAAAGCTTGGAGCTGATCTGTTGGTCATGGGAGCACTTAGCTCTGTCTATTACTTGCTGCTTATGCTGTGTAGCATTCAAGTAGTCCTATTGGGTAGCTTCACAAAGTTGATATCTCATTTTTAGGCATGCCTGATGCTGCTCCCAGACTCTCCATTGAACCAGGATTGATTTCCCTGACTTGATTGAGTCAGGGATATGCTTGGCCATAAGGTAGTAGATTGTGCTGGAGTACAGTTCTGCAGCTATTGATGGCCCACAGCACATCTTGGATGCC